CATTATTAGCAAAAAATCTAAAGAAAATTGGCACACTGCCACTTTAGCTCTCAAAACGTCTTTAAAAACAGCACTAAAGCAAAAGTTCTGTAAGTGCATACAATTGCAAATTCAGCTTTCTGTAGTATTCTACAGTTGAAGTTAAAATTATTAGCCCCCGTTTATTTTTTTACCCAATTTCTGTTTAATGGAGAGAAGATTTCCTTAACACATTTCTAAACAGAACAGTTTTAATAGGCAAGTTATTGTATATCGATGGTTTGTTCTGTAGACTATCAAAAAACATATAGCTTAAAGGGGCTAATAATTTTGACCTTAAAATGTTTTTTAAAAAATGAAGAACTGCTTTTATTCTAGCTAAAATAAAACAAATAAGACTTTCTCAGAAAAAATATGATCAGACATACTGTGAAAATGTCCCTGCTCTGTCAAACATCATTTGACATGCCATTTATAAACGTCTATTTTTGGAAACTGAGATGCATGCCATCTGAAAGCTGAATAAATAAGTTTTCCATTGATGTATAGTTTGTAAGGAAAGGACAATATTTAGCAAATGGGTTGTAAAATATCATTCTTAGCAATGCATATTGATTAAAACTAATAAAAGGTAAAAAAAATATTTGGTTTATTCATGGTGGGAAATTTACAAAATGTCCTCATATAAGATGTTAACTTAATATAAGTTATATTATATAAAATTTATTATGACTTTTTATATGTAAGATTTTATCATAAAATAAAAATTCATAATTTTGACTCAATGTATTTTTGGCTATTCACAAACTGTAAAATATTTTTGTATTACAGCATTTGCACTGTTTTGGTTGCCAGTAAGGCTGTAAAATTTACAATTTATTCATTCATTTTCTTGTCGGCTTAGTCCCTTCATTAATTTGGGGTCGCCACAGCAGAATGAACCGCCAACTTATCCAGCACGTTTTTACGCAGCGGATGTTCTTCCAGCCGCAACCCATCTCAGGGAAACATCCACACACACATTCACACACACTCATACACTACAGACAATTTAGCGTACCCAATTTAGAGTACCCAATTCACCTGTACCGCATATGTCTTTGGACTGTGGGGGAAACCGGAGCACCCGGAGGAAACCCACGCGAACGCAGGGAGAACATGCAAACTCTACACAGAAACAACAACTGAGCAGAGGATCGAACCAGCGACCCAGCGACCTTCTTGCTGTGAGGCAACAGCACTACCTACTGCGCCACTTATTCACCCCAAAATTGACATTTGTTTGCTTTAAATTTTTTTTATTTTTAAAAAGACACTACAAAATTCTTTATAAAAAATGTTGTTTTCATGGTAGCAGGCTTTTGCCATGGCAGCTTCCAAATGAAAGAAAAACCAGCAGAGGATAAAGCATCTCAACACACATTACAGTAGATTCAGAAAAATATTTACACATGCATATTAAACAGTCAATGATGTATGAAAATGTCACAAACAGTTGTTCATTCAGACCTACCTACCTGTTTAACAGTGGAGAACATCAAACCCAGAATTTATCCAGATCATAAATGCTGTCTCTGCAAACACCTGCTCTCTTCTGAGGATGTTCATTTTCTTCCTTTTGTAAAATAAAGTCAGTCTGATAACATAGTTTTACTTGTGAACTAGCTGAACCAGTTCTGTTTTTCATCAGAAAAATAGTAGCAAAAATTAGTGTTGTGTTGTCTGTTTTTTTTTTTTTTTTTTGCATATGTCCATGTCAAACCCATAGCTTGTTGTGGCAAAATTCAGATTATTACTGTCAAACACAGTAGTTAATATAGTAGAATCAGGGGAGGACTGGGACAACAGTTTCAACTGCGACAAGTTATTGAAAGTCAGGCCAAAGTGAGGCCGGTGGTTAGGGGGCTGTTTATGAAAGGGAGCTTGGGGGGGGACGGCAGGCCAGAATCATGGTGGCAGGCCAGATAGATCGTCAGGCCTCCCTATTACCAGTCCGCCCCTGATTATAATAATATATTATGACATCCGTTAGTGACAGCAATGGCCTGTTTTTACTGCAGAAGACACAAGCCACTCAGATTACTACACTAAAAATGCTGGGTCGGCAAAACCCAACGTTGGGTCAGTATGAACAATTCCAACATTTGGTTAAATTTTCTGTTAAGTTTAAATTATATGCTTAAATAGTGGTGGAAAGAGTACTGAAAAATCATACTCAAGTAAAAGTACCATAGACTGATTTCACGCGGCCGCCATTTTTAAAAGTGAAATTGAGGCTGCGGTGGAAAGAAACCCGGAAGTATCATTGGGAGTTACATAGGAATGTTGTGTAGCTGGCTATATATCTTATCAGCAAAGAGAAAGTGACATAAATTTATCATTTTACCGCCTTTCCGGGTGACCCGAAGGTCCGTTCTGAATGAATGGGGAAAATAAAAAGGGATATCAGAGCTCAGTTTCAGCTAAGTTAAGGGAAATAGCGCTAGTCAGGGGCGGACTGGCCATCTGGCAGACTGGGCGGTTTCCCGCTGGGCCGACGTACTTTTTGGGCCGGGCTGATCATCGTCTTATAGTCTGATCGGCCCATAAAAGGCTTAGCAGCCTGTCGTTTTTTCTGCCTTATTAATTGACGCTGCTGTGATCTGTGACTCTCTGAAAGTAAGATGCTTTTTTCCCGGACAGACGTCACACAAACTCCTATTTGGGCTCTGTGTGAGCGTGCATCATCTGTGTGTATTTGTCAAATTAGTCGAGAGTCAGAGAGAAGGGAGATGCAGAGAAATCACGGACAGCACACCGGCGTTTCATTTAGCAGTTCTGAAAAGTTCTCCGTTCATTGTAGTACACGGCTAAAACGCAAATCACGTGACCACACACTCTCTGCCCAGAGCTGTAGTCAGTAGTTCAGTGGGTGAGCATAAACCCCAGGTGAGAGTATAGTGCATGTCGGATAGTTCATCAACTATCTGCTGGATGATCTCATCTCACTATAGTTGTAAGACGTGATATTGAATTCATATTAGGCTCATATTAATATGTAGCTACACGAGGCTGTTTGGTGTCTGTTAATCATAATATCAAAATGAAACAAATTTCCTTATATTGTGTTTTCATTGTTTATATAGTGAAACAGCTAGCAGGATGAGGTGAATGAGGTTATAAAGTACACTGATTTACCCATGCATTAGCAGGCAGTTTTTGTTATGTTTATTATTGAATATAGGCTGAGTGAATAGTGTATTGAATAAGCTAAATTGGCTGTAGTGTATGAGTGTGTGTGAATGAATGTGTATGGGTGATTTCCAATATTGGGTTGTGGCTGGAAGGGCATCTGCTGCATAAAACATGCTGGAATAGTTGGCAGTTCATTCCGCTGCGGCAACCCCTGATAAATAAGGGACTTATGCGAAGGAAAAGAAATGAATGATAATGTATTTTTAGAACTTTACAAATATCTTATAGACAGTATACAGAAATTAAATTGAGATTAAAGTTTGTATTTATTTATTTCATATATATGGCTTTTGTGTTTTATAAAATAGGAGTTGATAAAAAATATTGGACGTGCATAGAGAGATAGCATTTTGATTGAATAGTGGGCTGCTCTGGCCCAAAATGCCAGGGCCGATTTTTTGCCCCAGTCCAGCCCTGGCGCTAGTTAGCTAATGTTTTCTTTCCTAAACATGTTTTAGATGCATTTATTAAACTTAAGTTATTAACTGACTCTTTCACTATATTAGACTGGTCACGATACTGAATTTAAACAAAAAACATCAGTTTCCCGCTAACATTTAAGGCACTGTTGATGGCTTTCTTAAAACAGCGCTGATTTGCCATTGTGTTCATGTGTTCAACAGAAATGATTGTGATTGGCTGAGAAGGTCATCAGTTCATCCTTCGCTGTTTACCGAGCACAAACACAGACGAGCGATCCGCTTGATGACTCGACTGATCTTCAGGGCTGCTTCGCCCTCCAGTCTCTGTGTATCTGTGTTTGCACTGGGTGAAGAGCGGTAAACTGAGTGGAAACACAGATCAGTCGAGTCATCCACGCTCAGCAGCGCTTCCATGTTAGCGGGAAATAGATGGTTTTAAAAGTTCAGTACCAGGACAACACTATAACAGACAACACTATGGGTGTGCTACAGAGGACTGCAGTGTTTTATTGCTCACCGAGTTACACAGGCTGAAGCAGGTGTTTACGGCTGTTTGTTGTGTCGGCAAAACAAGCGTGAAGTGTTGCTTTTATAGTTTGCTGCCGTTAAGTTCGTTTTCATTTTCTCTCTGTGAGAGCTCATCTGGATCACGTGTGGATTACCAGTGTACGCGACGCTCGACAACAATAACTTACGTGTCTAAGGAGGATTATTGTTTACCTGAGAGCTGTTCTCATCTGCAAACGCTGAGATCCGGATTCGCTTGTAGTATTCTCTTCATAAAGACGCGGCTCTAGTTGCTGGTGATTGTCCTGTCTCTACAGATTTGGTAAGTGAACGACCAGTGCTCTTTGTTTATTCAGTTTGTTCGTATCGAACTAAGTTAACTATTGCACCGAGTGTAAACACGTTAGCACCACAACCAAACTTTAACCTTGTGTAGGGTTTTTACCGCATTTCGTGACCGGAATAACACACGCGGCTTTCTGACGCTACCTGCCGTGTGCATCTAACTAATTGCTGAGTTTTTTTTTCTCTCATTCGCCGTGCTGTATCAAACATTGCGTAAAAAATACACGCTTTAGACCAGATCCTCGAATCAAATATCTCGTTTGTTGCGAGGGGCATGAATGAATTCCCTGAATGAAAGAGCCAAACTGCATTTAAAGTCCACCATTTAATAATTTGGCAAATAATTCGACTACAGATGTCCACGTAGTTTAAACACCATCACTTTCTCCTGTGTGTGAGTATTTTGACTGAAACTTGCGTGTGCCCAAATAGACACTCCCACACCATCCCACTTTAGTTCCTCCGACACTCCCCCCTAAACAGAGCTGGACACGCCCACTTTTCTGACTTTTTCCAAAGTAGAGGTGTGAAAACACCCTTCTGAAACGAGGGGGTTTCATGGCCCTTTAAAAGTACAAATTTGGATTTGAATTTTCAATCTTTTTGTAATGGTATGTATGCATCTCATATTGTCATATGTATATTGTTGTATGTAAATGTTTCTGTCTACTGGCTTGTTGGCTGATTGTGATGATTGACTGCAGGTGTGATGTGTAGAGCTGTTTCACTATTTCTTGAGTGCTGCCATTTGTAATGCTTTACCTGATAAAGACCATGTCGGTCGAAACAGTGTGATATTAATGCATGATCTACAGTGCTTTATATTTGAATTTTTTTATATTTGAATTTTTTTTTAATTTATTTTATATTTAAATAAATACATATTATTTTTCAGTATAGTATTACAATTATGTAAACATATTTACTTTTTAGTTGCTGTAATTATTTAAAAAATATAAACATATTTTCTTTTTAAATGACTTGAGAGAAAACTTCTGATCAGAATTTAAACATGGATTTTAGTTTAAATTAGATGTGAAAATTTTTTTTCGGCAAGAAAAACAACTACACTACACAAAAAAAAAATGCTGCTTGTTCAAACTACTTTTTTTTTTTTTTTAAATAAGCTGAAACAACACCATCCTTTAAGTTTTTGTTAGGGACAGCTTAATTGTTTTATGCTGGATCAACTTAAAATTGTAAAAACCATTAAGGTAAATGAATCGATTTGCATTGAGACGAGGTGAAGCAATCGAGTGGAACCCAACATTTTTTACAGTGTAGCACCTGTGCAGCTGTTTTACACTCACCTGATATTATCTTCTAGGTAAATGTTTAACCCGTTTTACCTGTTGCTAAATGTGAAACTATTTTAGCAGGCTCCATTTTGCCGAAGAAAGGACATAAACAATATCGGAGAGAAAGTCTGTGTGTAAATAAGGTGAATATGTTTGAGTACAGATCAATTTGGCGCTGCTAAAAAGAATGGATTTGTGAACTGAACAAAGTTTGTGTTTGATGATCTTCATTGCTGAGTCAGAGGTAGGTTTGAACAAACACTGAATTTGTGCTCATGTGCTGGTCAATAAATATGAATCTGCTTGTGTAAGTACTTACATCCTGATCTTGTCCTACTGTTATTAACATTTTTCAACATTTAGTTCTTGCTGATCACTGAAGTGCATTACTGTTTTAATTAAGTCATATATAAGATAGTTTTATGCAAATTGTGTAAATGTGAGTAGGGATTGGGAAATATTTTGGTTTGGGTGGAAATACTTAGGTTGTTTCCTGAAAGACTAGTGCATTCAAATGTGCCTGGGGTAATGTAATTCAGAACGTCTGGGAAATGTACAGAACTACAAATTTCAGAACATTTTACACTTTATCTCAGTTTGTTTATGTGTGAACGATTATAATACATACAGTATGAAGTGAATATGAAGTTAAGTGTGATTTTGATTATTGTTTAATTTACAAGCACAGTAGCATATTTAAAGCTGCTGTATAGGCTATTTATGTCCCCCTGGCGGCTTATTCACAAACTGCAGTCATACACTAAAAACAGTGGCAGCAATTTCAAACAGCCGTGATATATGCCCCGGCGGTAATAGTCACTTTGAACTTTCACCTACTGTATGTGTAAGGCTTTAAGTTAAATTTGGGTGATTTAATAACAGAAATTTCACTTTTTGGATAAAGTATTGCCTTGAACACCATATAACACACCCACTTAGCTAACTTTAGACTTGGGCAATAAATCTGTGGAGCAAAGGTTTTATCAGCCGACAGTTTTCAGTGTACATTCAAGGGTGCAAGCTGGAACTATTATCAATAATGGAAAACTGGGAATTATAAACAATGAACAGCTATATCACTAACACTCAATCAAAACAAAATATTATCGATTTTGAAGTGAATTAAGAAGGCAAAAAGGGTCTGATGATCTACAAAATATTCTAAATTTGTACTTGAGTATTTGAAGTGTGTACTGCCTTTCAGCAATACAGACAGGTTCATAACCTAATAAATCAACATTATTTTCTCTGATGACATGTAAAAGCTGACTTGTATATTATGATGAAAATCAACTTTTGAAAGCTGTTTGGACCGAACTGTGTGTAGGTATGGTGTGTCCACAGTCATGTTGGAGTGATATAAACACAAGTCACTTTTTTTTTAAATTCCTGACGTTAAAACAGGACCCAAATCTGAGTGATTTTGAGGCCCACCGCAATGTGATGTAAGAGTTAGGGTTAGGTGACGTTAACCAACTTGGCATTGTATGATGTCTAATGTAAAACGTCGCGATGAACGATGGCATCATCATCGTAGGCAGCGGTGAAATTATTATTGAATAATTAATTCATAACAAATTAATTATTTGTAACCTACCGTTCAACTACCTGACTCGCATGCTCTTTGTTATACCCATAACCAAATCATAAATGAATAAAGAAAAGTTACACACAAATTACCACCTGTCAATCAGTTTTTTTCAGTTCAGTTCAGTGTGGTTTAACAGTCAATGCTGAGAGTTCAAACACTCGAGAGTAATCCATTGATGCACAGCTCTACAAGTTCCGAACTATGCAAGCTAGTGGCGACAGCGGCATGGAAAATCCTTCTCAAATTGGCGAAAGTGAAGAATAAAAATCTCGAGACAAACCAGGCTTAGTTGGGCATGACCATTTCTTCTATGCCCAAGCATCTTGTGCAGAGCTGCAGTCAAAGCACTGGAGAACTCAGGACATCAGTGAAGACTCGTCTGTCCCTGGAGTCTCAAGCCTCCTTTCCACTGCACACTGTAACACGGGGAGTGACAGAGACAACTGAAGTAGGATCCACGTGCAGGTTTATTCAGTGTTCAGGCAAGAAATGGTCAACACAGGTGCAAACAGATGTATAAAGGAAGTCCAGAATCATAGTCAAAAGTATTAAGCGAGAGGTCAAAAGGCAGGCGGCAGACAGGGACCAAAAGGGTAACAAGGCTATGGTCAAAAAACAGGAAAGCAAGACAAGGATAACGCAATGTAATGTCACTTTACAGATGAACAAAACTAGGCAAAGGAAGTGAGTGTGTGTGCTGCTTAAATAGTGTGTGTAATCAGTCTTTGACAATCCTCAGGTGGTGCGAGTGTAATCAGTCAGAATGAAGAAGCATGCTTATCTGAGCAGGGTGCATGTATGAAAATGTAGTCCAGAAAAGGCGGAGTAGTAGTCCATAAGTTATTGTGAGTGAGATCCAGCGATCTATGAAGTTACGATCGCTAGTGATTGTAACACACACGACAAACGAAAAGCGACAGACCGTAAGTCAATTATTTCCAATGGAGTAGTCCGGGAGCTGCATGGAGTTCTGATCATCTCCGTATGCGAAAAATTCACATCCGAACTGAGCTGCAGATCTGTTGAAATATTTGAACTCCTGCGACTAGACTGTATGCGACCAGCCAACAGGATTTGCTGTATTCCAGTGTTGTACAAGCAGGTCCATGCGTGCGAGATGCGAAATACTAGTTTATTTGGTTATTTTTTTTAAATGAGAAAAAGTCTATATTAACAAAAAAAAAAAACATCTGTTCATAAATGTAAGTAATAAAGTAATAAAAATATAATTTTTTATTGTTGTCTCCACATTCCCTCCAATATTTTTAGCGGTCTATGAGTTTCTAATATTCATTTATTCCTTTAACCACTGTGAACGCACAGTGAATAATGGCTCTTGCTTTTGGACTCCTTTATTTCGTAGACTGCGAGAACAGCTTCTCTCCCATGGTGCACGTCAGAACTGAAAATACTGTGTGACTGCCTCAAGAGGATGTATTCTGACACTTGTGTCCAAATGTCGTGTGCAGTGGAAGAGCAGCTTCACAGGAATCAGTCTCATAATCTCCACTCCTCCATGACCACCACAGCAGCTGCTCAGGATATGACCTGGTCCGGGATTGTGTAAACCTTGGGATTATCTCTTCACAGGTCCTAGACCGCTTCAGTGGCACTGCATAATCTCTGGGGGCCTCGGAATGAGCATCCCCAGGTGGAAATAGAGAGTAAAAAGAATAATTAGCATAGCTGCTGTTCATAGTGTATAAAAACAAGATGCGTGGAGCACATTCATGCATCATACCGCTATGTGATGCATTGTGTGTATGTTTTACTAAAAAGATAGGTCTTTAATATAGTTTTGAACTGGGAGAGTGTGTCTGAGCCTCAGACATTATCAGGAAGGCTATTACAGAGTTTAGGAGCCATAAATGAGAAGGCTCGACCTCCTTTACTCGACTTTGTTATTCTAGGTATTACCAGAAGCCCTGAGTTTTGAGATCTTAAAGAGCGAGTTGGATTGTAGTGAGACAGAAGGTTGGTAAGATAAACAGGAGCTAGATTATTTAAAGCTTTATAGGTGAGAAGCAATATTTTAAAATCAATGCAATACTTAACAGTCAGCCATTGTAAGGAGGATAAAATTGGGGTAATATGATCATATTTTCTAGACCTGGTAAGAACTCTGAGAGCTGCATTTTGTACTAGCTGAAGTTTGTTAATAGAGGTTCATGAGCAGCCAGTAAACGGAGCATTACAGTAATCCAGCCTAGAAGTCATAAAAGCATGGACTAGCTTTTCTGCATCTGAAATGGATAGCATACTTCGGAACTTAGCGATATTTCTCAGATGAAAGAAAGCAGTTATTACTATTGATAAAAGTTTTGCAGCTTTATTAAGTGTAAGAGATTTGCTTCAAAACTGAGAAGCTGGACCACTGGCTTGTAAATAGTTCTCACTCACTCAATTTCGTTCAGCTTAGTCCCTGATTTATCAGAGGTCACCACATTGGAATTACCTGCCAATTACTGTGTTTTTTAAAGATTTGTATGCAGTGGATGCCAATCAAGCCTCAACTCAGCACTGAGAGAACCCTCTGTGCTGGGAATCACCCATACACTCTCTCATTCTCTTTATTGGTCCTTACAAATCATTTGATTTTTAAGCAGGAAAACATTGTATTATTAGTTTAACAACCAAGTAATCATTAGGGAACCAAAATGACAAAATCACATCTAAGAGTAACTGCTGTTTCTCATTTCTTCTGTTTTTTTTTTCAGCACTATGAATCAATATGAGAAAAGAGAGAAGGAATCTCTCATGTGTGAAGCAGCATCTCCAGAACCCAGCTGTGTGTCTATGAAGAGTGATGCATCTTTACCTGTTCCCCCTAATCTCAGCGATGGAGCTCTGTCTTCTGACTCTGAGTGAGTATAAATGAGATTTATCTGCTGCATTAATGTTATGAGACATAATTGAATGCAAAGGTTGCACTTTAATACATATATAAAAGCTAAATAAAATGTGCAAATGTGCATCAGCTGAGGACAAATATGAGCATGTGTGAAGTAAATTAGCTGATTGTTGACTTGTCCATGATTGTAGAGATTGGAAGTGTTAACTGAACCCAGTCTTCTTTCAAAAGAAGGAAGGAATGTAAGATGTGGACTGAGTAAATTAAGAGTAATTTAAGCTATTCATCTGCTCCAGACTAAACTCGCTTTCTTCATACAGTACATTCGGCTAGAGGCAAACTTGTTGAGCCCCTAAAGTTTTTTCTCCATTTCTGTCACCTGATAGAGGGGATGATTGGGTGTCATGCAGTGGCATGCCCTTTTCTACAAACATCCAAATATTTCCAGCTGCCCGCGCCAGTGGCGTAATGTCAGGTGATTCACGTGCGACCGTTTTTTTGACTAAACTAAATTTATTTTTGATGTCTTGGTCACACTATTTGGTGGGCCGAAACAAATTGCCTCGGGGGCCAAGTTTAGCCCATGGGCCGCCAATTAAATAGCCATGACATACAGTATGCATTATCATTAAATTGACAGGATTCTGAAAGACTGCTTTTTTGTTATTAACATGTTTATTTATTGGTAGCAACTCAAGACTTGACCAGCTGATTTTGGAGAGACTGGAATGTTGTTGTTTGTGTTTTTTTACTGATAAACGTTAAAGGTGTAGTTCTTACAAAAAAAATTTAAAAATCTGTCATTATTTACTCGAACCTCAAACTCAAACCTGCACGATCTTCATCATCTTCAGAACAAATATTGACATATTAAAGATATTTTGTGAAATCTGGGAGATTCTCCTGTAGGAAGCAAGATGGCTATATATGTGTAAGGCTTTAAGTTTAACTTGTTGATGTTGGAAGTGAGGTGAAGGGTAAGTAATTAAATCACAGAAATGTCACTTTTTGGATAAAGTATTGCCTTGAACACCACAAAACACACCCAGTAAAGAGCTACCTTTAGGGCCAACTTGCACTATTATATCCATACCGTGCCCAGGCCCATTTCCAAGATCGTTTGAGAAGTGTGAGTGCGCTGAATCGGGCTCAGGTGCAGTTCACTAGGGTTTTTTAAACTAAAAGCGAGACGTGACTTTAAGGGACTGTTTCTTATTGATTTATTAATTATTCTTACTGTTCAATGAACGCAAACTGCTGTAGTTTATTAAATATACAAACCCCTCACTGCACTACAGCTGCACCTTCAGCAAACCTCCTCACTTCTGCAGCATGAGGACTTTATGATTACTTATGAACGTCAAAAGTGGCTGATCTGTTCAGTTGATTTTAGGATTTTCCTTTTAAGCGGTTCAGCTCCTTATAAGGTAAAATAAATAAATATATATATATATATATATATATATATATATATATATATATATATATATATATATATATATATATATATATATATATATATAAAGTCTAATATTACATTTATAAGTAGTAATTTAATAAAATACACTTAAAATGTTTGTTTAATATGGGTTGTATTCTAGTATTGCACTGTAATTGTCAGGTCCTCTGTCTGATCACCTGGGTTTGTTTCTGTTTCGCATTTGTTTACATGTATTTCAGCACGTGTGGTGTTTTGATCACTTTCTCACTACATGCTAGCTTTGACACATCTCCACCCATCTTCCCACTCATCCCTATTATTCAATTAAACCAATTTCATTCACCTGTCTTGCCATAATTTCCCCTCTATTTAGTAATTTTTTGATTTTGATTTTTTTTTTCTCTACTAATAAATTTTTGAGAGATCTGCACTTGTGTCCGTTCTGTTCCCTGACAGTATTACATTGACAGGCTCAGCCATTTGAGTTCTGAATAAGCCAAATAGGCTCAACCCAGCTGTTAACTGTAGTAAAAACCACTTTCTATATTTAAGTGCATTTTTTGTTTCCATGTATTAAATAAATAAACTGCCACTTTTCTAATTAAATGGCATACATATATATATATTTTTTTTAAGCGTACAGGCTAATTCACATATTGCACGATCTGAATGATGATAATAAATAAGAAGTATTATTTTAATTCTAGACAACACTTGTTTTTTGCTATCTCTGTCTGTGACTCAGTGATGGTTTAAACGAATACATCCTCTAAGTGCTTCATTCACTGTGTTTAATCCTTTTTGTGCAAGACTGTATGGTATACTTAATGCCACACAAAGTGTAAAGTGTTTAAAATTGGTTGTTCATTTTGAAATAAAAATAGCTAAATGTTCGTTAAGAGTTACGTTTTTTGCTGGAGGAAACAGCTGTGCTGATGAGGTGAACGCAGAGAAAACCCGATTGCTTCTCTGTGACATTGAGATACAGTATGGAAGCATACGAGTAGCATAATTCAATTCAAAATGTAATATGCAAAATGGCAATGCAATATGTTAAATGGCAATGTATTTCTGTATTTGAATTTGCATTTTCCAAGACATATGAGCAATGTTTGGTGCAAAATGAAAATGTAAATTAAATTACATTGTTTGCATTTCTCATTTCAAACACTGTTTTAATTTGTAAATTGTATCCACATTTTAAAGCTTTATAAGTAGCAAAAATTAAATTGAAAATGCTATACACAAACTGAATTTGATGTGAATAAAGTACAAGCAGAAACTGTGGCAAAATGATCATTTAAATGTTATTTGTCCTAAATGCATTTACACTCGCATCTAGGAAATGCAGGATTACATTTTCAGCATAACAGCATGGGATGTGTGTAGCAAAATTAATTTTGAAATGTAATACACAAAACGATAATGCAGTATGTAAATGGCAGTGTATTTCTGTATTTCAGTTAGCATTTTCGGTCCGTGTACGTTGCGTTCATTCGATTTTTGATCTTAAACGAAATTTAAAAAACGAGGAAACGGCCGTTTTTCGTTTTTTTATTTGGCTACAAAAAAATGAAATAACTGATTTTGGCTCGATTTTCTTTTTTTGGTTTAGGGTAGGAAAACGGATAAATGACTTTAAAATTCATTATCCACATGTAGGCGGTTCTGAAACGCCTATTTCCTCTGATTGGTCAATCAAATCTGGGCTCCTGACGTCGCCTTCAAAATAACAGTCCTGTAGTCTTCGTCCTCTGCGGATCAGCACCCAGGCATTTAATATATATTTAATATATAATATATTAGCAGTATTATTAGACATTTATCATTACAATTTATCATTACTGTTATAGTTCGCCGCCAAATTTGCTGCTATGCACCTGATACTGAGCAAGATTTGCGAGCAGCACTTGGTTTGCACGATTGTTTCCAAGCTAGGCCTATATAATAGTAATAATAATAATAATAATGATAATAATAATACTAATAATAATAATAAGCCTTCCTTTCGAGACTTTCGCTGGATTAATGTCGAGTACAAAATATCTGTTTTAACAGTTGTCAGTATTTTGTGATTTTTACTTTTTTATTATTTATTATTTATGTATTTATTTACATTGTCTGGGCTTGTGTTGTGTATTATGCTACAAAAACTTTGTAATAAACTGTGTTTACATTAATTTATCTATAGCCTATATTATTTCTTAAACATTATATTACTTCAAAAGTCCACAGAGCAGATATTAGGTCCCATAAATGAACGATGCAAGAGTCGGATCCAACAGCCAAAGAGAACTATGATCTTTATTTTTTTCGTTTAAAATAACTGTTTAATATACATAATACACCAAATTTACGTATCATTTAAACCACATAGTAGAACATAGGCCTATGCCTGATACATTCATTGCATATGCATAAATTATATAAAAACAGCAGTATAATTATTTGACATTAAATTAACGTCACTGCCAAACTTCTTGCTGCTATGCTCCTGATGCTGAGCAAAATAAAGCCATTTCTGAGCAGCACATTGCATTATTGTTTCCGAGCTAGGCGCAGCTTTATAATACGTGATTATTTTCACGTATTATTGTTATGTAATTAAAACTAGACCTATTTAACACACACACACACACACACACACACACACATATATATATATATATATATATATATATATATATATATATATATATATATATATATATATATATATATATATATATATATCAAATACATATATCAAAGTCCCTTTATAGTCTTTGCCTCTCTCTCTCTCTCTCTCTCTCTCTCTTTCTTTATGTGTGTGTGTGTGTGTGTGTGTGTGTGTGTGTGTGCATAGGCTATATACCCTAGAGAGGAAAAAAAGAGAGAAAGCGAGAGATGCATAGATGGATATGCGTACATGTAAGGATGAAAGCTTAAATTCAGCCGAATATTAATGAAATACTTTAATTGGCCATATGGCTGTTTCCGAACACTGCCTTTTGTGTTTTATTTGGATATTACAAAATTAAATAGTCAAAATGTATTTTTTTTTACCATTCTCTCTGACTTTTTTCAATAACAAAGAAATATATTTCAAAACAACACTTTAAAATGTATTACTTACGCTACATTAATAATAGATTTACTGTAGAGCTCAGCAGTTTACTCCGTGAATTCGCAAGAGTTACATAGCTTATATGGGAGTATTTTTTAAGCGCTAAAGTCTACATTTTTATTTAATCGGGTGGATCAGGTGATATCAGTCATTGCTTATGCAAACGTCATCTACGTTCTGAAAAATAATAAGGTGTTTTAAAAATGTGTATCTTGACAAACTGGCACAAATTTGGATATAAAAATCTTTCATCGTGGCCAGACACGCGCAATCTCTCACAATGAGTTTACTGCACAAGTTTGGAGGATGTTGTTTATAAAAAAAAGCAAAGACGGCTCCTTCAAGAATATAAGATTTTTAATTGTTTTGTAAGTGCACTCAGGCATATGTTTTTGCATATCACTATAATTCTTTACAAAAGATTGTGTAATTATTCTGTTTTCGAACTGTACATTTATTCTTTACC